ATTGCTGCTGTTCCCAGGTCCACCTTGACCTGGGGTGGTAGCACCTGTTAGGGTCCCAGCTATGGGAAAATAGTTAATTGTGGTAAAAACACTATGAAAGTGTAAAAACAGGTTTTAATACCAGAAATACTTTTAAAAAAAATTATTTCCATTTTATTTAGAAAAAAACTATTACCAGCTATACATTTTTGAGGAAAAAAATATTACCAGCAATAGTTTTATGAAAAAAAAATTATTACCAGCAACACATTTTTTGGAAAAAAAAGAAATTATTACCAGAAATAGATTTTTGACAAAACAAAATATTACCAGCATAGAAAATTTTGTCAGTATTAAATAACCCACTGGGGTTGTTAGGCCATAAAACAAAACAAACAAACCAACCAACCGCCATTCTCTTAATTTGTAAAAACAAGCATCAACATTTTATTCAGCTCCTGGTAGTCCATGGCAGGGTGAACCTTTCCTTTGTTCTCTTGGATTATAGCAATCAGTGGAATTAAACTTTTAGCCTGCCTAAGCTCATTCTTGGGATATGGTGTCAGTCAGATGTTATCAAACCAGACTTGGAGCTCACACTTGTATTCATGTTGCACCAAGTTGGACATGGGATATTCTAACATCATGTTACACAACACTATTGGAGCTTGACCTCCCATCCACTTCCACGTTGCAGTCCAAATCTTCACCACCTGGTTAAATTCAGCACTGAAGTCCTGTTCATCAATGGTTATCACTCCATATAGGAGTGGTTCACTGTGACAGAACTCTACTGTACCTGATGTAGTGATTTGTACCCCTCCCATCTATTTTATAGTGTTCAACCCAATCAACCCCTCATGAGTCACCAGGATGTCTACCTTGACATGGTTACTACCATTTAAGCACACATTAATGACCCAACCCCATGGGTGTTAGTCTTTCCATTGATGATCATCACACACATAAACCTTCTTGTCCATGATGGGCACATATCTTTGCTGGCTAATGATTGAGAGCAACCAGAGTGCTAAGTTTTTATCTGCTCCAGGGAAGAAACTAGCATTACCATCTATTCTTCTGTCTCGTTTTCTTGGACAGGTATGCACTAGGTGAGACCTATAGCTAGACACTGAAAACAACACATCTTGACGTGACCCCCGCACATATTCCCTGCTGCCTTCCTTGGATGTGGTAGCCATTTGATGGCTGAAGCAGTCTCATGTCAGGTGGTTCGGCCCATTACAGGTATAGCATGTAGGGGGATAAAAGGGGATGTCAAGACTCTTAGTTCATGTTACTTGTGATGCTGATGACACTACCATTGTTGGTTTCACCTTGTTGCCCTTTAGGATCACCCAAGTATGTGCCAGCATCTGGTCAATGAACAGCATGTCCATTATCAACAATGTGCAAAGAAATTGTTTGATCTGGGCTGGTAGTCAAGCCACAAACACTCACCTGAGTATGTGTTCCCTCACCACTCCAAACAGCACTGTAAGCTTTTATAGTTCTGTCAGATAAATGTTGACAGATTCGTCAGGTTGCATTTGTTGCACTATGAATTGCTCATATGCTGCAAACTTGTCTATCGTGAAGGCTGCATATGAAGCAGTCTTTATTTTGTTTGCATCTGACTTCTCATCTTTCAACTGCTCGTAGATGGCAAACACAACCCTTCCAATCAGTCACAATGGAATGATGTATTCCAGACACTTCACATTACACAATCTGTAGATAAATTCTGCCTTTTCCATCCATTCAACCACCAATCCAGCATTGCTAAACAGAGGAATCAGCTTCAGATCGAAACTGCCATCCATCTTAAATGCCAAAATAGCTTGTATTAAGTATTGAGTATTCTGCTTATGTCTTCTGCACTGCTTTCTCTTTTTCACCATGAGCGTCATCTACAAAACTACTACCATCCTCTAGCAAGCAATGAAGCTGATTATGTATTAAGTGGCAGGTGTTAATACATTTGCATAGGTGTGATGTCCATTTCACCAAATGATGGTTTTGCACATACATGCCAATAGGATTCGAACCAGATTTCCTGTTACAGCAGTGGCAACCCAAACATGCTTCATACTAGGTAAGCCACACTCTGCATTACTGCAATGGGAAACCTGAATGACACTAGGTTAGGTGAGAGATAGGGAAATAGTTGGCAAATTTAGACTAGGAACTTGTAATGAACATAGAGAAAAATGGGTTCAATAGTGTATGATGAGATAGTAGCTAACACTCAGTTTCAAGAACAACCAAGCAATATACGGACATAGAGAGACACAAGAGGAAACAAAATACCCAAATTGACTATATAACTTTAAATAAGAGATTCAGGAATGCAGTTTTACACTTCAAAACATACATTGGTGCTAACTGTGGGAGTAACCACCTTCCAGTTATATGTAAACTTAGAGTGAAACTACAGGAGTTGAAGAGGGCCAACCAAGACAGCACCCAAATTACAATACAACAGATTCCTGAATGACTAAAATATGTTGGGGAAATATATGGACAGTGTTAAAAGCCGATACAATGAACAAAATAAGAATGGAAACTCAAAGCGGGACATATTAAGAGAAGCTTTAGTAACATCAGCAATTGAGATCATCCCAAGGAATACTAGACAAAGAAAAAAAGTAACTGATGTTAGATGAAATTCTTGACATGATGAAAAGCAATGCCAAGATATGGCAAAGAAAATAGGATTCTGCTCAAAGAAATTAGGTAAAAATGCAGGTGGTCTAAAGAGAAATGGGTCAACGAAAAGTGTGGAGAAATAGAAAGAACAAGTATTACAGATTAAGCAGATATGCATAAAAAAAAATACGAGAATGAACAGAATGAAAGACATGCTCATCAACAGGATGTATAAAACTCAAAGAAATACACTGATATTAAAGAATGAAAAAATACTTCAGAGATTAAATGAATACAATAGAGAACTCTTCCATGACAAAAGAAGACAACTAACAATATACAAAAATAGTGATGGATCAAAAATATTAAAATCTCAAGTGAAATCAGCACAAGCCAAATTGAACAGGGACAAAGCTGCAGGATGAGATGGAATTGTAATAGAGATGCTGGCAGTCTTAGATGATTTCAGCTTTGACAAGACTACAAACAAAAGTATACACCAGGGGTGATATACTGGAAGACCTAAGTAGATTCCTTTTAATAGCATTCCCTAAGAAGCCAGGTGCAAATGAATGAACTCCGTTCATCCTAATGAGTCATATAACAAAACTTATGTCAGAATAATGAATAGAGTGCATAGCAAAATTAGGCAATGCTTTTTCATTACAATGGAATAAGGAATGCAATATTTATACTCAGAATTATATTAGAAAGAGCAATACCAATGCAGAAGGATATATAACTATATTTTATAGATTATGCAAAAGCATTTGATAAAGTATGTTTCAAAGAACTGTTGGAACTGCTTTGTAACCTTAATATATTTGCGAAGGATACTAGAATAATCCAGGATCTATACTGACAGCAAACCACTTGCATATGGATAGAACATGAATTCAGTAAATATACAAAAATAGAAAGAGGTTTAAGATAAGGATGTGTCTTCCCACTGGATTTATTCAATCTATATAATGAGTGAATTCTGAGAGTTTTATCATGATTCGTTATTGGTAGCACAAATCTTAACAACATAAGATATGCAGCTGAAACAGTGTTGGTTGAAGACATAGAAAAGAAACTTCAAGAACCCTTACAGAAGGTAGTGAAGGAAAGTGCGAAGAAAGGACTAAACATCAGTTGCAAGAAGAAAGAATGCATTGGTGTTAGCAAAAGGAACAGCTCAACATGCAAATTACATAATGAAGACAGCAAAATCAAATAAGTTCAACAATTGGATTTCCGGAGAAGTGTTTTAAGAGAGGATGGAAAGTGTGAGACTGAAATCTGAAGGTGCACTGGGATAGTGAACAAAGCCTATCAAAAGTTAAGCAAAGTATTAGGAAACAGGAAAATTTTGCTAGAAACAAAGAAAAGCATACTGAACTGTTGAGCAATATCAGTCCTATTATTTGGCAGTGAATATGGGGCAATCTCCTCACAGATGAAGCAACAGAAATGTTCTATAGAAGGATGCTGATAATACCATAGACTGAACATATAAGTAATAACAAGGTTTTAGAGAAAAGAGAAACAAAAAGGACACTTATGCTTAACATCAGAAAGACAGTTAAAATTTCTAGGGCACATAATGAGGCAAGAAGGCTTGGAAACTTTGAAACTCATAGGACAAGAAGGACAGAAGAAAACAGTGTATAACCTAACAAGCTTGGGTAAATGGATGACAGAACAGGATTTTGGAGAGATGACAAAATGACAAAATTTACTAAGATCTACAAAAGACAGAGAACCCTGATTGGCAACATCCTGGAGGAGTCCCACATAGAAGAATAATGTCAATATGGGCTATAGATGAAACAGTTACTGAAGTTAGAGGAAAGACATTTTAATATAAGAACATGACATTGACATGAAATGTTTATGGAAATGATTTTCAATAATCATTTTGTCATACTGATATTTGAAAGCAGTAGTAAGTAGTTCTTTAAATCAAGAAGTTGAGTTAGAGGAAGATAACCGGGACATCCAGAAGAGGCATGGCATGTAGAACTAGAACAATCTAACCTGGTGGATGAAAAAGAGTTCAGTTCAAAATTCCAATTACCTACAAAAGGCTGGCACATACAACAGCTGAAATGTGAATATGGTGATAAAGATGAGGACAAACAATATAAATAATGTAAATAATTAAAATATCTCATCTCAGAAATACAGATTTAAAGCCTAGTTTTGACCATCACCTTAAAAATAATCCCTTGCCTGCTGTTTACAGACTGACTTGCAAATGTTCAGATTCGTCAAACTTCTAGGTAGCACCTAAGCACATGTACATAAATTTTTCATCCTGTTTCTCCCCTCTCATTTGACTTCATGGCTCACTAAGATTAACTTTGTAAATATTAAGAAATACTTACCAAAACAGCAAGACTTCTTCCAAATACAGTAAATTATTATTATAATACTGCCGATGATGATGATCATAACTGGAAAGAAGCAAATAAATTTATGCTTTTATTTCTGTTTATTAATAAAACAATGTTTGTAATTACTTGTCTGCCAAAGAATATTTGTGACTGGTTCCTACAGAGTGTTACCAAAGCAGTATTAAAACAAGACCCAAAAGTGTTATTCTCTTGAGCCACAGGATACCTTAGAATTCCTCACCCCCTTTAATGAAAACTTTTTCTTTTTTATGTGCCATGTCCTTTCAGGATGTAGGTGACCATGGCTCTCCACCTTCCTCTATCCCTTGCAGCCCTCAACAAGTTCTTTCCCTCTGCTTCCCCCCCACCCAGACCACGTTCTGTCATCTACTTGCTTAAGCCCACCAGGTATGTCATGCATTGTTTTCCCTTGCCTCTCTTTCCCTCTATTTGACCTGTGAGTATCAGATTCTCCAGGCCTTCCTTCCTCATTATGTGTCCCATAAACTTCAGCTGCCTCTTCCTGATATTAAGTATACGCTTCCTCCTTGTTTGCAACCTCTCTCGGTCCATGATATCCTCAGCATCCTTCTGTAGGACCACATCTCTGTTGCCTCGTTCATCTTTGAGGAAATCATTCACTGTCATATTCTTTTCTTTGTTACCAAAGAAATCCTTCTGTCTCATAATGCTCTGCCCAGCTTTTGGAATGTGTCCTTAGCCATCCCAATATGTCTACGAATCTGTGTTGCACTTACCATTCTGTCAAGACACTTCCCAGATATTTAACACATTAAACCATAAACAGAATACTACACTAAGCTTATGTGACTAGACATGGATATATCTAATAATCCTACCAAACTGACAAGTAAGGAATATTTCTCAAATATAAGTCTCTCGACATCTTTTATAGGAACTTCACGCACATGTAAATAGTATAAGAATGCCTTTACATACACACCTTCATTCAACACTTGTTTTCAAGAGATACAAATTGATAGCTCTATATACTGAATTCCTTGGGAGGTTGATGTCAAGGTTGATGGACAGTCCAAAAGCCTTACATGATCCTGATAGTTGATCCATGAACTCCCGTGCTGAATTCTGTGTGACCACAGTCATCGACATAGAGAAGGTTGTGCACTAAACTCAAAATGACTTCTGTCCTTGCTGCAAAACTATATATGTTGAAAAGCTTTCCAGTTGACCTGTACCTTATCATAATACCATCATCGCAGTTCCCGAATGCACCAAGCAGTACATTTGCAAAGTAGATAGAAAACATTTTAGGAGCCAGAAGATTGAGGTCAGGGGACACATGCAGTCCATAGTACCAGTCCTCTGTTACCTAGCTATTTTTTCATGGTAGATGTCAGCCAGTGCATCACAAACAATCTGATTAAAATGTGCTGGAACCATATCATGAATGAACCACATCCATCTTCATATGGGAGAACATATGGACCTACCAGACAGTTACCTACAACTCCAGCCCACACATTAATCATAAACTGATGTTGATGTCTAGCCTGTATTGTACCATGGCGATTGTGATCTGCCCACAAAGGTTGGTTGAGTAAAATTGTTCTTCCATCTCTTCCAAATGTTGCCTCATCTATAAATGTAACCATCTCTTCTCAAACAGCTTCTTCTGCACTTCCCGTCTGTGGAATTCCCTTCCTCTTACTTCCTCTGACTAATCTTCGAATTTTCAAGTGTAATGTCAATCAACATCTGACACCCTGAGCTTGTTCCCTGTCCTTATCTGTATCCTTTCCTCAAACATGCCTCTTTATTTTTGTTCTGAATCCTCTGTAACTTCTTGCGTGCTAGTAGCACTCCTGACTTGCTTGGGTGAATTGTCTTAAAAAAGACAAGACTGAAGAGACAAACAACAGATTGGCAGATCAACAGTTTGTGCAAAACTTCTCCCATACTGAGTCATCAGAGGGTGAAAAACCCTGCACATGTTGCAAATGATACAGATACAGAACCAATAATATTGCTCATTCTTCTTTGGATCTTATCAAGGAGCTCCAGGAAAATAGCAGGGGCACTATATGACAGCAATATTCTAAGCATGGATGAATGGTAGCCATAGATATGCAAGATAGATTCTGGAGAGAAAAATTACTTCACCTGACACAGTGAACCAACTTTCTTAGCAGCTTATCTAGCAATGGATTCAATGCAGTTTTTCACCTTATGTCAGCTGAGAACATTAGCCTGAGAAGGTGCAAGGAGTCACTTTCTTGGAGGATAGCATCAGCCATACTGATAGAAGGCAGAGAAGGGTCTCTCAAATGATTAATGGAGAGCAGTTTAGTTTTGCAAGCATTAAAATTGAAAAGCCATCTTTTGTGCCAGTTATCAACAATCTTGAGCTTGTTTTGTACATCAGTTGTAATTTTGACCTTGTCTGATTGATCAGGCTTACTACCAAGGTAGAAGTAAATGGTAGTGTTGTCAGTGTAGATGCTAAAATTAAAAACTGTGTAGGACCAAGGATGGAGCCCTGGGGGACATCTGCGTTATTATGAAATGATGTAGATGAGTAGCCATTCAGGGCAACATTCATTTCACAATTTGATAGGAATGACTGTATCAGCTCAAAAATGTGCCTGGAAATACTGTAGCTTTTCAGCTTGTGAAAAAAGACCTGAATTCCAGGCCCTGTCAAAGGTTTTCAACATGTCCACTACTTCTGGGATTCACTGTTTTTATCTAGTGCATGACAGACTCTTTTTGCATTTATTGGTAGTACATCAGCAGGTGATCTGGAGAAAATGAAAGCTGTATTTGTCTACTAGCCTGAATATTCAAGAAAAATCTTGTTAAAGAAAAATATGCACTCTCTGGCAGGATTCAAACCTACATCCCCCACCCCTGGGCAGGGGAAACCATCATTAGATCCTGTGTGCTTTAGACCTCTCAGCCACAAAAATGGGTCAATTAACAGGCAAGTTGAATAGTGTCTTTAAATGCAAATCTTTCCCCATTTCTCTCATATATCTGCTCAGTTTTGTATCCTAATGTACCATATTTGACATCATATAAGTTGCACATTTTTTTTACTAAAAAATATTTTTTAAAATTCCCGTGTCTTATATGGCATATGTAGGTTTAAAATTTGTGATAGTCATTCAAAATTAGGTACCTGGCAACGCCTATTAGCTTAGACTTCAGAGTAACTTTCATATACCTATCATCATTATTTAAAAGCTATTATGTAGATTAAAATTGTTATCATTGATAATATTCATTATATTAATTTCATCACATTTAATATTAGTACTTTGTTTCACTAAAATTATATGCAATAAATTCAAATTATAGATTTGTAAAATATATTTGTTTCATTAATATTTTTCTTGCGATAACCTTCAGTTGTATTGGTATAAATACAATCAGAATTTTTATATTCTAATTATTCGAGTAAGACATTTACAAGATGCAGGTTGCTCAGATCATATAACAGATATAATAAAGTTTTTATAGGCTTGTATCCTTTTTTTCCTATTATGTTTTGTTTAATTGTAATCATGGCTTGTTTAAGCAAAATAATACATCATAAATATAGCCTAGGCAGTACCATTTACTAATAATTTTACTAATTACTAATTTTTTCTTGATTTGCCCTGCTGAAATTGGGGTGCATCTTATATGCCATCGAATATGGTAAACGAAACAATTTCTAAAGAAGTGATGGATTTTTATTTATTAATCTAACAGCATACATATATACTTATTATTCTACAGCTTGAATTAATATTCTTTCGCAATTAGTGATTCTAATAAATAAGTAAATGAAAAAGATTCCATACCTATCGGAAGAAGTATTTCCAAAAGATACTGTTCGGTTTTGACTGAAAAAAAAATAAATAAATAAATAAAGGTTATAATTTGGAAATATTTATTGTTAATTTTTGACACTGTTGTCAGAGTGAACAGACATGTTTTTTGCAGTGTTCAAAGAACGCCTTGCTGTATTTTATAAAGGGAAATCTTGATTATTTTAATTATCCATTTATTGTTATATTATAATTTTTAATTATATTACGAACTTATAATCTTTATTAAAATAAATCTTTTTTAAGATTAGTCATGGCATATATCGATTGTTTCATTTTTAAATAAGTGTTATTTAGCAAGTTTAATTACTAAGAATTATTATATCAAGAACATTTAATACATTGTATTTGTTAAATTATACATTGACATGAATGATTCTACTCTATATTTAAGCATGAAATTTCTTTTTTATGAAAGCGGATGTAATTTTTTAAATTATAGGAAAATCATTTCAAGTTGTAATTGTTTATCACTGACTATTGGTTCGGTACCAAAGATTTTTTTTCCCTATTATTTATCATTCAAACATTTTTAACATTTGTCTATAACTTTATTCTCTTTTCTTTTTCATATCCATTGATTGTAACATTTTTTTTATAGCTGAGGATGTATTTTCAAATTTGTAGGAAAAGCATTTTGAGTCATAACATTATTCTGTTTTCTTTAATATCTTTTTTTATTGGTTCAGAATAGTCAATTTCTTCTATTATTTATCTTTCAAATATTTTCAACAACAAAAATAATAAAGAAGCAATTGTCTCATATATTTGATGATAATTGTATACTTTTATTCTTATTTATTAATTGATATCTATTATTATCATTTAAAATATATATAATAATAATTCTTAAAGTGGTACATTTGATAACAGACTGTATACACTGACATCTAGTGTAAAATATTTATATTTTTTGGATAGATGAAACTTGTTAGTCTGGGGTGGTGGTCCATCTAAGAGAAAGAAAACTGATTTTAAAACAAGACTGCCTTGCAGCCATACTGAGTCACAAAAAAGTTTTTGGGAATAAACTCTGAGGACAAATCCAGAGCCAGTGTCCCTAAGACAGTCCGATGTTATGTTCAACTTCATCCTGGCAATTTCTGCAATAACACCAGTGCCATGATGTATTGGCCTCGACCCATCCTTTGGACAACATTGGTAGCATGGAGAAGGGAGATGTGCTGTATGAGCAACTGTTAATCTCCCATGAAACCCTGCCCAAGCCTGTACCCAGAGGGGATACAATAGCATCATCTCACTGTATCGGCAAGACACAGGAAGCAGTAGTCTACCAGTTATAAGTCTATGCTTGATTGGTGTGGACTACATCTGTCTGAAGAAAACCAAGGTGATGAGGCAAAGCACTGAAGAGCTTTCCACCATCAAAATCAACAACTTCAAACTGGAAGTGGTTCATGAATTCACATACTTCAACTCCACCATTTTGGACACCTTCTCGCTAGACACTGAGGTCAATAGAAAGCTTACTACAGACACCAAAATTGCAGTCTGTAGGGTATACATTGTCAGCAGTGAGACATGGAACCTCTACTCCAGACAAGAGTGACACCGCAACACCTTTCATTTTTGCTGCCTGAACTGCATTCTGAGCATTAATTGGTATGTCATAGACACCAATGCCGTAATTCTCACCCATGCCTAGTTACCAGCATATACACCCTTTTCCAACAACACTGACTCTGCTGGTTTGGACATGTATACCCTATGCCAAATGGCAGGATTCTGAAGATCCTTCTGTATAGGGAACTAGCCACTGGCAAGAGGGTAACCTCATCTTCACTTCAAGAAAGACATGATTCACACCAAGGGATGGAGAGAGGAGAGGAAAAATGGAGGCTTGCCACTGGAAAGAAGAAGGCTCGATGGAAAGAAAACAATATGGCAACATCAGGGGAGATCATCTTGACATGCATTCATTGCATTTGAGACTGTCACTCCCTTGTGGGCCTGTATAGCCATAACAAATTTTGCACCATCATAAGCACCTGAGGCATAATTCTTTGGGTACAGATCCATGGTTTCTCGCGATTGACTGTTGCCACTTAATTTTATGGCTATAAAATGCTTGTCATTTTTATGAATATTTAGGATTTAGTAAAATATTAGAACAATTACCAAATAAAATTCTAAGATAACCAATTTAAATCTTTTGAGGCAAAATAGCAAAGATTAAATGAAAAAAGTAAAAACAGCAAAAATTAATGGAGGAAAAAATTGTTAGCTTTAAGATGTCCTACACAGAATAATGAATTACTCAGTAGTTTATGAGAAAAAGATTATTGAAAATTATTGGATTCACAAACAATGTATTGGAAGCACACAGACTGTTATGAAATGGAATTTTGTTTTTGACAAAAGTTTTGATAAATAAATTAAGGAGCCAGTAAAGGTATTTATCTGTCCATGATTTTATAAAAAGGGAGGTAGGTGGTGATAACGTGTTACTGTCAAAAAGAATACTTTTAACAATTCATGACAATCTTAGAACAATATTGTTCTTCCAAGTTACTTCTGTGTATAAGTACAAATTAGAAAATAAAATCTCTACATTTACTTTGATAAATTTCCTCAAAGGATAAAACACATTGATAAAGAAAAGTTTTCCTTTAGTGTATTATCTATATTGTTTTTATAGATGTATTTTATTTATATCTGAATTTTTACACACATTTGACAAAGTCAAAAAAATAATAAGCTAAAACTTGAAGGAAGAATTTACTCTATTAACTGTAATAACTGCCACATAGAATACACAAAAGAAACCTCAAGGAATTAAAAAAAAAGATTATATGAACACAAAACCACACACTCAGTGCAGTAATTACTCACTATAATGAGCCTGACCATAATTTTCATTTAAAGATGCTACTTCAATTAAAAGAGAAAGCAATTTATTTTAATAGAAAGTGCTTTAATTGTGAGATAATCCTCAGTAATTTTGGCAGATCTTCTATTATCTCAGTGTGGAATAGTTAATAACAAAAGTGATAAAAATGTAAAAAAAAATGTAACTAAATGAAATTGGGTAGGTTATATAAAAACACATGCTAAAAAAAAAAATTAAAGTTTAAAATTTCAGCATCACCTCCTCTTAGTGCACACATGTAGTTACATCAACATAAACATCATTTTAGTCAGATGGAATCTTGAAGGACAAAACGCATCACACAAAATTTTCAATGTTTGTCAATGGTTTTCCTTACCTGACATTTTTTATATATCTCAAACCATATAATAATTATCAATGTTTATTTATTTATTTATATATTTACTGTCCCTATCTATAGTTGAAAGGGAGGTAAACCAGCCTTAGTAAATTTATGAGTGATTACTTCCCTTAGACGTTTTAATAATCTATACAAATAAAATATTTATCTCCAGAGACAAAATTAATTCCCAAGCAAAATTAGCCGTTTAATGAATCAGTTCATTTACTCCTATGTTTCTTATATTGCAGTTTTATTTCTTCAAGCATTTCATGTGAGGCACTCGGATACCTTTGTCTATTAAGTGATTGTCTTGCTTCCACAAGTTATTTCACTAATAAAAAATAATTTCTCACCTGACATGCCATGTATAATTTTCGAAGTTCTTTTTAATGCAGGTTTTCCATTTGCTTTCCATGTGGCTTCATTGATTATTGTGATATCACTACCAGTGTCTAGTTGCGTTTTTTGCATCCACATTATTAATTTTCACATGCACAAATTTTTTTTGGTTTTCTGTAATTATTTTTTCAGTCACAATGCTGTGTATGAATTTTTTTCTGTGAGAACTTTTCCTAGCTTTAGTTCTACAGATTGACTTTTATATTCTACTTTTCCACAATTGTTGCATGTTAAATTCTTAATGCAACAGTTGTCTCTGAAATGTAACCTTCCACATCTGAACATGGATTAATTTTTCTTTTTTTACACTTTTCTTAAGCTTGTATGTATGTGCATTTTTCCTTAAATTCTTCTGTATCAGTCTCAGATTTAGGATTCTGTCATTCATCTGATATTTCTCGTAGTGTTAGTTTTGGATTCTGTTCAAGTCTCATTAGAACTATAGTATGTATTTCTGTGTTTTTTTTCACTGTTAATCTTTGAATGAAAATTAACTCTTTAAACATATCCGGAGTCAGTTCTTTAATTTGAATCTTTCAGATTCTCTGTAAACAATTCTAGCATATGTGAAAAAGTCTTTGTCTTCTTTTTTTGTCAGATTCTTTCACTTCCAACAAGTATTGAATAATAAGCTTTTCTTGCTAAAAATTTTAGAATATTTCCTGTTTCTTGAAAGCAAATTTATCCTGTTTCTTTTTGGTCGTACAAAAGTAGAGTATTTTTCATGTTCTACTGGTGCTAACTTTCTCAACAAAAGTATTTTTTACTGTTAACCCTTGAATGAAAATTAACCCTTTAAACCTATCCAGAGTTTGTTTAATTTGAATCTTTCACACTCCTTGTTAACGATTCCAGCATATGTGAGAAAATGTTTGTCTTCTTTTTCCATTCATACACTTCCAATGAGTATTGAATAACAAACTTTTCTCACTAAAAATTTTAGTCAGAATATTTCCTGTTTCTTCAAAGCAAATTTCTCTTGTTTTTTCAGTAGTACAAAAGTACAGTGTTTTTCATGTTCTACTAGTTCTAACCTTCTCAACAAAAGTCTTGTTTTTTTCTTATCTTCTCAGTCGCTGCATTCTTCTCTGAAAATTTGCTTGTTTCTTTTAAAATAAGCAGAAAGGTAATTCCATCATCTGAATTGTACGTGAATTCAGTTTGTTGTAATTTTTTTTTTTTTTAATCAGTATCATCCTAAGCAAAGTAGTAATACCAGTAAAATACAAGTTGTTTTCAGGAGGATTTAGGAACAGAGACAATAATGATGTGCAGAAAAAGAAAAGAGTAATCAGGAGGACAGTAGATAGCGACTGAGAATGCATTTAAATTTTTGCAGATTAAAGTTGGCTGGAAAGTATGGAACCGGAAGGGAGTTCCTCAAGGGAGAAGTGTGAGAAAAGAAACTGCATATAATTTATGGCCACATCTAGCCAGCTTAACTGTAAATTGATGTAATCTTGATGACAATCTAATGCTGCACTTAATATCATAGCAAAGAGCTCATCCAAACAATTACCATAAAAGTATTTATAAAAAAGACACAGTGAGGCAACCTTACAGTGATGGAAAAGTGACTGGAGTTATGTTGCCAGATCAGAACCAATAATATTGCTGATTCTTATTTGGATCTTATCAAGAAGCTCAAGGTAAATAGCAGAGACACTGGACCATATGTGGCGGCAATATTCTAAGCATAGATGAATGGTAGACTTATAGATATGTAAGATAGATTCTGGAGAGTAAAATTGTCTTGCCTGACATAGTGAATCAACTTTCTTAGCAGCTGATCTAGCAATGGATCCAATATAGTCTTTCCACTTCATATCAGCAGAGAATGTGAGCCTAATGAGGCACAACAAGTCACTTTCCCCGACAGTTATCATCAGCCATGCTGATGGAAAGCAGAGAGGGGTCTTTCAGAAGATTAATGGAGAGAAGTTTAGTTTTGAAGGTGTTAAAATTAACAAGCCATCTTTTATCTCAGTTAACAACTGACTTGATGTCATTTTGGACATTGGCTGCCATTTTCACCTTGTCAGACTGATAAGTCTTACTATTGAAGTAGGAGTAAATTGTTGTGTCATCAGCGTAGATACCAAGTTGAGAGCTGATGTCATCAGGAAGGTCATTAAAGAAAATTAAAAATGGAGTAGGATCAAAGATAGAGCCCTGGGGAACATCTGCATTAGTACAAAAGGATGTAGATGAATGGTTGTACAGGATAACCTTCATTTCATGATTTGATAGGAAAGACTGGATCAGTTCAAAAAGTGTCCAGAGACACTGTAACTTTTCAGCTCCTAGAGAAAGACCTGAATGCCAGACTCTAGCAAAGGCTTTCAAGATGTCCAATGCTACAGCCTCGGTTTCCCCATTTTTATCAAGAGCATGATAGACTCTTTCCACAATTATTGTCAGTATATTATCAGTTGACCTTGAGAAACAATAGCCATATTATTTTTCTGAAAAATGGCCCTGTGATGAGAGATGATGAACCAATTCATCATTGGCCTCTAGGAGTTTCCAAAAAAGAGGTAGAAGGCTAACAGGATGATAGTTGGATGGCTCACAAGAATTCTTAAAAACAGATAATGACTTCCAGTAGGTAGGTAAGCAGCTGGCAGTGAGGTATTTATTATACAGTTTAGTGAGAACAGAAACCAGTTCAGGAGAACACTTCTTTATTATTATTACAGGATACCGTCAGGTCCATGAGCTTTGTGGGGATCTAGGTTAGAGATGATAGCAGAAACCATGAGAGGTGTTATATTCATACCACTCAACAGAGAATCAGTTCTAAGAGGTAAGTTAGGCAGGGATATTCCAGATGAGTCAAGAGTAGAGTTTGAGGAGAATTTATGGCCAAGCATTCAGCTTTATCAGTAGAGGATGATATCACCTCAAATTGATTGAAGAGGGGAGGAATAGAAACCTTAAACTTATTTAATGCATTATAGAGCCACCAGTAATTGCAGAAGCCCAAGTTGTAAGAGGCTATGCAGTGCTTCATTCTCTTGTCAAACGGATTTTGCTCCTTTGAGGACTTGCTTAGATTCATTGTGAGCAGCAATGAATAGGTGCTTGTTTTGACGAGAGTTCTCATGCTAGTATAGTTGGAAATAGTGGTTCCTGGTATGAACCATGAAGAGAATTGAGTTTTCACCTGGTATTTCTAAGAAGGGATGAAAGAAACCTCAGTGACACAATATTCAATTGCTAGTTTAAAGATGTCAGGGTGTTATAAATAAAGTTATGGAGTGAGGCTGGATCACCTTGTTGGTAATGTAAAGAAGTCTTGTGGATAACATTTGAAAGAATTTGGGGAATTTTCCGTTTTCTTCTGCATTATTTCAATTAAATTTTGTTGTTGTTTCTGGAGTTCCAACAACTGTTGCTGTTGTATTTTTTTCCATTTGGGCTAATAATCCTACCATAATTTAAAAATATCTGTTTTTTAGCTTCTGTCTTTTTTTTTATACACACCAAAGAAAAAAATTAAACCAACATAATTTTATTTTTTGTTATCACTGTTATATGTGCCAAAGCCCAAAATAAAAAGTACTTTTTCCTACTCTGTATGAATTTCGATTACTCCTTGTTGCTGTTATAACTCACTCCTATTGGTTATATGCCTTGACGTTTGTTTGGAATTCTTCTCTGATTGACTCCAACAGAGTTCTCCTGATTCATTTTGAGTTCTTTAGGACGTCTTGCCTAGTTCAATTGTGCTACCAGGGGTGTCTTACTTACTCCACAACAGGCCCTCAACAATAGCAAGCTGCTTGAAAGCATGAACAATTTTAAAATTATTTTTATTAACTGTTAAAAACATTTTTATTTCAGTGCCTTACAATAAGAAATTACTTTTTTGTTTTTTCAAAATATTTCATTTAATAAGCTTTTCTCAGTCTGTAATTTTCTTTCTTTAGTTATCAACAGTATTCAAAGTACGACGACATACACAAAAGTTAAGTTGGTACCCTGTGTTGTACCAGAATATCTTTCATGACAGAATCCATCATGCACATTTATAAATCTGTCATTTGGCCATGCATTGAATACTGTTGCCATATCTGGTCTGGTGTTCCTGCTGTATACTTTGTGATTATTAACAAAATCCAAAGTAGGTACTGTAATATAATCAATCCTGACCTGGCATTTCTCACATGGCTTCCCTCTGTTCTACAAATATTTTCATGGCCTCTGCTCTGACAAGCTTTTTTCCCTGGTGCCCTGACTTTATGAATCTAGGCATGTTACTAGATTGGTAACAAGGTCCCACCATTTTACTGTTGAATTAGCTAGCTGCAACAGCCACTTTTACTCTAACAGTTTCTTTTCTTTCATTTCCTGCCTGTGGAACTCCCTTCTTATTTCTTGCTACTATGATAACAACCATCTGCAAAGATCTAACATGCTATGCCTTCTTGGGCTCACATTTTCCACATGACATGAAGTGGATCAACTACATCAAACCAATTGCTATGCCTACAGCAAGATAAATGGGTTGTGTCGTGCCAGAAAATCTTTCTCATCAGAATACATCTTTTATATTTATAAATCTACCATTCGACCGTGCATTAATTACTGCTGTCTGGTGTTCCTGCTGTATATCTTGAGATTCTTGACAAAATCCAAAAAAGGTTCTGTAATATAATCGATCCTGACCAGGCATCACAACTTCAGTCACTTTCTAACCGATGTGACGTGGCCTCCTTCTGTCTTTTCTATAAATATTTTTATAACAACTGTTCTGATATTTTAACTACATGCATTTAAGTTTGTTACTAGATTGGCAACTAGGTCTCACTGTTTTACTGCTGAACCAGCTAGATGCAACCACCACATCTATTCTAACAGTTTTTTCTCACCTGTGGAAATCAGTTCTAATTTATTGTTTCCCTGACACCTACAATATTCAAAAATTTAAATACAATGTTAATCATTGTATTCTGTCTTCCTGAACCCTGTTCATTTATTGTCCTCTCCTCACTAAAGTCTTTTTCTTTTTTTTACACCCTGTAACACCCTGTGTCTTAGTGGCATTATCACCTTGCTTGGGATGAAAAATTTAGAAAAGTGTGGGAAGAGAACTGTGTGCCAAGTCAAATTCTGCCTTTGTTTATCATGTTCATTTTAGAACAAATGCTCTCAGCATGCATCCATCCATTCCCTTTCCAGCTAGACTGAGGTATATAGCCTTGAAGTGGCAGACAGAAGTAATGAAATTGAAACAGAAAATAATTAAAAAAGGTATTAACAGGTTTACAGAAAGGTAAGTAAAGAAATCAACTCCATCATTGAAGTTATCTATAGTTCAACACCATCTTCTTAAGTTGATATCTCTGAAGTACTTGCATGCCATGTGATTTTCATTTTTAATCATTTCACCTCAAACAAAGCAATAAATCTGCAAGGGGTTACAGAGTATGACGGAATATGGTGACAAAAAAAAACATTATTCAGGAGAGAGAACAATAGAAGAACAGGAATTCTCTTTTGTGGGAGGAGGAAAAGCACATGTATTCAATCCAATGTCAAAGGGAAAAGAGAGTGTGGGCTTTTTAGAAATCATGTCAACTGTAGTTTTAGTCAGAGGCTGGTAATCCATCATGTTTAATTTAAGACATATGAGTCTAAATTTCCATTGCTTCAACAGTCTGAATGAAAGAATGTCTCATAATTAATAAATTGTACACACAAAGTAATTTTTATCATAAACATATGAAAAAAACATTGACAAATAAGAGAAAAAATAACTACAGATGTCATTAAAAAAGAAAACAAAATAAATAAAAAAGAAACATACCAGGATTACAAATAGTATTTTTTGCTTCAATACAGGATAGATTTTTGGTTTGGGAAGTAACAAAACCTTCCTTACAGGTGCAATTGCAGACAACTTTGTTTCCAAGTAACTGACACATAGCTATTCCATTTTTTATGTTATTTGATGGCATACAGGCTACAACAAAGAAAAAGCAGAATGTGAAAGGAAACTAAAGGAGAATAAATTTCTAAGTAGACATGGTTGTGGCCGTCATAAGAGTATGTTTTTTTTGGTTTGTCAGATGTTCATAATTTTGAACAGATCAAATTTGTCTCTGATTTTATTTGAATTCTAAAATGGAGTATTTTCATTATTTACTTTTGACTAGTTTTCAGTTTTCTTTCAACTTTGTAAATCAAATACTCTCTAACACTTGAATAAAATTAAATATGCCATCACCGATTTGGCCAAAGAAGCCCATTGTTAGACAAAGCACAAAACTAGTCAAATTACCACCACCTACTCTAAATCTTCTTACATTACATTGATTTAAACAATCAAGTAATAATCTCAGGGTATTTGAAGGTTGTTATTTTATATTGTCTTATGTAATTTGAATCTTATAATGTAATTTAAGTATTACCTTATACAAATTGTATCTTATGCAATTTAGATCCTCCCATGTAATTTAAAACTTATCTCATACAATTTGAATTTTACAGGATTTAAATTCTATCTCATGCAGTTTAGATCTTATACAATGCATTTTAAATCTTATTTCATGCAATTCAATTCTTATTGTATGCAATTTAAATCTTATTTCAGGCAATTTAAATCTCATCTGATACAATTTAAATCTTATGCAATTTAAATCTCATCTGATACAATTTAAATCTTATGCAATTTAAATCTCATCTTATGCAATTTAAATCTCATCTGATACAATTTAAATCTTATCTTATGCAATTTAAATCTCATCTTATGCAATTTAAATCTCATCTTATGCAATTTAAATCTCATCTTATGCAATTTAAATCTCATCTTATGCAATTTAAATCTCATCTTATGCAATTTAAATCTTATATTATTCTGCTTCAATCTTATGCAATTTAAATCTCATATGATACAATTTAAATCTTATGCAATTTAAATCATAACCTAACCGATTTAAATGTTATCTTATGTAATTCAAATTTTATCTTAACCTATACAATTTAAATCTTGTCTTATGCAATTTAAAATTGTATCTGATACAATTTAAATATTATCTATACAATTTAAATATTATCTTATGTAATTCAAAATTGTATCTCATGCAATTTAAATTTACCTCATGCAATTTAATTGTATGATTCAAATTATGTGAGACCAGATTTAAATTGCCTAAGATAGGTTTTAAATTGAATAGAATAATATTCAAAATGCATGAGTTTAGATGCAAATTACACGAGATAATATAATAATTAGATATGGTAAGATTTAAATTGAATGATATAAGATTTAAATTGTATAAGATCTCGACTTCTAATGCAATTTAAATCTTATATCTAACTTTTCTATTTTCTCATGTAATTTGGATCTAAATTCATGCAATTTGAATCTTATCCTATGCAGTTTAAAACCTGTCTTATGCAATTTAAATCTGATCTCATAATTTGTATGTCATACAATTAAACATTTATCATATGCAATTTAAAACTTATCTCATGTAATTTAAATCTTATTTAATTAAAATCTTATCATATGCAATTTAAATCTTATCTCATGCAATTTATCTTATAAAATTTAAATTGCAGGAGTTCAAATTTAAATTGCATATGATGTGATTTAAATTGCACAAAATTTAAACTGCATTAGATTTAAATTGTATTTGAGATTAAAATTGCATGAGATAGGATTTAAATTGTATAAGATCTTGACTTCTTAAGACATTCTCTTCAACTCATATTGCACAGTTCATTTAGCATTGCCATCTCAATTCTAACCTGCTAATGTAAAAAACACACATATGTATTTTAAGAAGGTAATCAAATTTATAAGTAATCCACAATTGATATCAACAATATTTCCACATTTAAAACACCAAAAATATTCTTACTCGCATTGCAATCAATGTCATGTTCCCACTGCAAACTGTCATTACATTTCATTGTCTTCAATGTCAACAATTCCTTAACGCTACATCTTTCATAAATTTTGTTGTTTGGGCAATCACTTTTATTCCCACAAACATGAATATCAGGGCATCCTGTCAAATAAAAAAAAGAATAATTATGATGAGCATTTCCACTGGAAGAACTGACAAATGGAGAATAGCATTCATTTTTTACAGAGAAATGGTAGTAGAGCATTTGTTTTTTTACAAAAAATAAACAAAATGGCTGAAAATGATGGAAAGAAAGAATCAAGATAAAAAAAGAGACCAATGAACCTAACTTATGCATTTTCATTATATATATATATATATATATATATATATATATATAAATTACACAACAAAATCCAAAATTACCTCATAGTAGGTAGGTTAGAGATCTATTTCACCTGACAACTATAACAAGGTCGGTCTTATTCAACCCCAGTGTATAGACTGTATTCATGTCAGACTTGGAAATTTAACTTTGACAGCTTTTGAAAAATAGATACAGAATAGACTGAAACATAGAAATGGATAAATTCTGTATCTATTTTTCAATGGCTGTTTAAGTTTCTAAGTCCGACACAAATACAATCTATACATCGGGCTTGAATAAGACTGACATAGTTATGATCGTCAGTTGAAATAGATTTATACCACCCCTATATAAGGTAATTTTGGATTTTGTTGTGTAATTTATATGCTCTGTTATAATAAATACATTGAGCTTTCTTTGTGCATCAGTTTCAATATTACTAGGGTCCACTTGGATTATATACCAATGGATTTATTACCTATATATATATATATATGTGTGTGTGTGTGTGTGTGTGTGTGTGTGAACATCACACCCTGTATTTTTAATCTTAAGCAAGCTGAAATATATATGCAATATATTGTAATATTATTTTCTATGAGTTTGTTGATGATAACTTCCGTAAGTATAACTCACTGTGTCTTGCTGGTCTCACAATTTCTTCTGACATGAAGTGGACTGATTATATTGTAACAACTGCTTAGTCTGCTGTTAAAAAGTTATTTCACTATATTATGTCAGGAAATTTTTCTCACCAGAATCCCTCATGCACATTTAAAAATCTGCCAGTCATCAGTTTACTGAATATTGCTGCTGCTATACTCCAAGCCAAATTTTGTTGTGATTCATGACACCTTCTTTATGGTCAGAGACTAGAATAGCTTGCAGGTCATCTTGAGGCTGCTGACTGGTGGGTGTAGTGACAAGCAATTAAGCTTTTTTCAGCCAACTGTAAGGCACTGCAAACCAATGACATGGATCCCTCCTCAATCCACTGAAGTGACATAAATACAAACCCACATACCAGAAAAAAAAAAAAAAAGAAGGCATTCTCATCTCACCAGCGACTTCAACAGTCTACAGTTTCTTCACTCACTTCATCCCACAAGAACATATCCCCTTGGCAGCGAGGGTGACCTACTGCCCATTACTACTACTTCCAGATTTCCCATCTGCAATGCTCACATCAGGCCAAAACTATCATTTTCCTATCCTCCTACTCCAACTTTTTATCCAAACAAACCACAAACCAAAGAACACTTTATCAATGGACTCCCATTTGTGTATTGACTTCTGGTTACCTTTGTGTATATAACTTCCTCGTTTTTTTCTCAAAATATATATTCAACCTGTTGTACAGGAATAAAGTGTCATTGCCGACACAGTAATTTAAACATAGATCACCAGTGAGCAAATATGGGCAATCCCATTTTGAACAAGTAGATCACATGATGGCAAAGGAAATATATATATATATATATGGGAATTAGCCTGATGTCTAAATGATCACAATTTCTAATTTTGTCCTCTATTACTATACGGATCACTCTTTCTACTCTATCCTCTATTCCTTATACTATGCTGATCACTATATGAATTACTATTTGGATCACTATCTGGTGGTTACTTTTCGAGTGAGTATTACCAAGCAAGTACTATTTGTGCGAGTGTTATTCGAAGGCATCTAATGCCAGCATTGTTCAATGGCATTACTATAGTTGTATCTGTGATTACAAAGTCTTTACTACAATGAGCATTATGAAAATGTATTAGTTGGCATTACAAAAGTGGCAATGAGTGTTCGTTGACATCACAAACAACCTTACTCTGGTGTTTCATTTTTTCCTTGCTATCATATACTTATTACAGTGTCTGCCTGTGAAGTCCCCCACTATCCAATGAAACCTACTTATACTCTACAAATGTATTCATATATACTATGAAATATATATACCTATGTTTTTATATCTATAGTCGATAGGCTTTCACTCTATAATTTCATGTACACTGTTATACTCTGCTTCAAATTACACCCTCTTTCTGATTTACTCCACACTAAAACCTGTCAGTCAGATGTGAACACCACAAAATTAAAAATAAAATATTGTTCTCTGCAAGGTGGCTCTGAGCACTGCATTTGACTCACAAAACAAATCCCCTCAAAAATATAAGATACAAACATTGCTGTGAAAGCAAGTGCATGACAAAAAAAATGCTGAGTCATGTATCTACCCTCACTGCTTAAAAGGAAAACACTTAGAGTAGTAGGTAGGCAGATGCAGAATTCACTAGTGGTCACCTGGTCAAACAACCCAATACAAGCTTCAATGCTAGGCCCATAAGCAATCAAACAATCTGTCCACAGTGCCATGTAAAATAACCACAATGGCAATGGCAGAAGTAATTCTCAATTACTTTATTCTTGTACTAACGAGATACAAATACAAAAAATATATCTGGCCCTGGCTACTCCACTGTTTCTATAACACTGGCTAAAGCAATTTATGTCTGAAACTGGCTAAGGCAATTTATGTTTGCCTGTGGAAGTTCCCCATTATCTAATGAAACCTTCCATTTCTACTCTACAAGATTCTTGACAAAATCCTAAGTGGAGTTTGTAATTTTATTGGTCATGACCTGGCATCTCATCTTCACTCACTTTCCCCACTGTTGTAACAATTTCCCTATCTCTTTTCTGTAAATATTTTCATGGTAATTGTTCTGATGAGCTTTACACTTTGGTACCTTATCAGCTGGAATTGAAGTGGAGTACTATATGGGCAGCTAGGTCCCATCATTTCAGAGTTGAAATAGCTAAATGTAATGTTAGTTTCATTTGAATACTTTCTTCTTTTACATTTCTCACCTCTGGAATGTTCTTCCAACTTCTTGCTTTCCTGTCAACTATGGTCTTCTAAAATTTAAATGCAACATCAATCGTCATCTGTCTTTCTGAATCTTGTTCTTTTGTCCTTTCTCTTGTCAAATGTTTTTACATTATCTTTTGCTCCAAGTCACCCCTTGTGTCATAGTTGCATTGCTACCTTTCCTAGGGTGTAATGATTAAAAAACAATAGAAAAATAGAAAAGTTTATATAAAATGTTTGGTGATGATTAATACGTATATCAGATAAATGGGTATATGTATGTGTGTGCATATTTGCATTCAGATCCCCCCCCCGGAACCATGATCCCTGTTTCTGACAGATAAATGTTGCGAGAGAGAGAAAAAGAGGAGTGTATTTGCTCAGTCGCATTTACTGTGTGTGTGTGTGTGTTTGTTTGTAGATGCACATTAAAAAATGTCTACTTTTTTCAATTTTCATTGTATCTATCAAGTTTATCAGACACAGTTTCTTAAATCATAATCGGAAAGCTACTTTAATTTTTTTCTTTAACTATCAAATTATAAAATAAAAATTTAAATTTTGATTACGTGGATATTTATTTGACGATAAGCAAGAGCATATTGGTGGTCCAATATAGCCGGGAATATTCACTTGGCCAAATTTTACTTCACACTCTTTAATGATATGTTCTCGATTTTTTAGATCTTGGTGGAGACAAAAGCAGCAGAGTTCAATGTTGCCATTTTCCCTTTTAATTTCCCTGGAAAATAGGACAGATTAGTAGCCATTATTTCTATAATCATTCAAATAATTAAAATACCTTTTTAAGATCAGTAATAGCATTAATAAAACCTGATATATGTAGATAACACAGTGTTGATGGCATACACAAAAACGAAACTAGAGGAACTCTCCCAGAAGAAGGTAAAGGAAAACAAAAAAAAGACTAAGCATCAATTGTAAGAAGATATAATGTATGGTGATCAGTAACAAATCAAAATGCAAAATTGCATTACATATATTTTTAATAATCACTTGAGAAATTATATAATATAAAAGTATTAATATTACTACTGTGACAAAACTGACTCTTGTATTTTTCTTTAATAATCATTTTAAAAAAAACTGTATTTTTACTTTTTTATGAGGTTCACCCTGCACAAGACCCGAGGGCCACTCAAGGTAGAGGGTTACAGAGTAAGAGGCACAGTTTATGTGGATAGGTGGGGAAAATAACAGTTAACTCTTGAACAGGTTAAGATTGTAGAGATCAGGGAAACATCCTCTTGGGAGTTGGTTCCACAGAGCAATGGTTCACAGAAAGAAGCTACTTTTAGCGGAACATACTTCTCACTAATGGAAGACAGAGGGAATGAGGATAGTTAGCTACAATGAGAGTAGTATGGTGGGTTCTAGCTGTGAAGTTTAGGGCTGGCAGAACCAAGGAATGTAGTTCATCTGAGTACTTTCCATGGAAGTAAAGTTAGAGCAATGAGAGGGGCTTGTCACATCCCTCTTCTGTGAGAGAGGGGTTCAGGTGGTAACTAATTTATCACCCACAAGGATGTGAAGACACTTTTGAACTCTATAGAGACTGGAAATTGAAAACTGGGTAGCACCTGCCCAAATATGACAGCAGTACTTCATTTTAGGCCTGATCTGGCTCTTGTAAAAGTAAAGGATAGTAAGTCATCTATTTACTGGTGTAGTACAGGGAAGTAGCCATTTTTTTTTCTGCATCTTCAGTGATGTACTTTTTCTGCTAATCTAATGTTTCTTGTGATGTAAAAAAAAAAAAAAATGAAATTGTGTAACTATTGTAAAAAAACTTAATATTTATTCTGTATCTTTTCTTTACAATTACTACAATTCCCCATGTATAATACGTCTTCATCCATAATCCGCACCCCTAAAATTGTGCTGAAAGTGTGGGAAAATGCTTCTACTCATGCATAATATGCACCCCTTGTTTGGTAATCAAACCCTATAAATTGTACCTCTCCAATTTCATTACGGCTAGTGTTTCCTACTCCTATTAAAAAAAATGATTGTAAACATAGAATAATATTATTCTAATTTAGTTTTATGATAATTCTTATTTTATTTTAAATTTGTAAGTATTATTAGGTATATATGGTTGCATTTGACATCCTTATGGGGTTGCAATTGCTGAATGTTAGTGTCAAATTGTCATAAGTTTGTGGTGAGTAGTCATTTCACAACTGAAATCAAGCTATGAAATGACAATTTTTTAAAGATTCTTTTGTAGTTGTGCATAATACACACCCCTAATTTTGCTTATTTTTTTTTAGAAAAAAAAAAATGCATATTTTGCATGGGGAATTATGGCGAGTTTAAATTGAAATCCAGTAAGGGTAAAACGTATAATCTAATTTCAATGAAATGGTTTCCATTTGTCATATTTTTCAAACACACTTATATTCATGTAAAAAATCTCTATGCATGAGAAAATCAAAGACTTAACTATGGGATGAGACAATATTTAATTGTCCTCTCACTATAAAGGTTATTATGCTGCAGGCCTTAAAGTCAATGTATGAGGTGTGATGATTTTATTTTAATATGCTTTAAGAGCTTTGGTCATGTGATTTAATGACATCCACTGATCAGAATTACACACATTTTTCATGAAAACAATTTTTTTTTCTTTGCAGATAAATAATAGATATGCACATCATTTTTATTTTTTCCTTTGAAAAAAAGAAAAAAAAATATTTCAAGTAAATTTGTGTTCAGTTTCACATACATGAGTAAATATAAAAATGTTGAAAAATATTTAAGTTACATACTTATAATTGTGTGTATAAAATAGGCTACAAAATCAGGACAAAGTTTGAAGAATATGACAAGAATAAAAAAAATTGCAAAGAAAGATACTGAATAAATGTTAATGACTTTTTCTTTTTACAAAAGTTACACAATTTCATTCTTTTCTTTCATCACAAGAAGCACCAGCTTAGCATAAAAAGTACTAATGATTTATTATTTAAGCATATACACAAACAGAACAAATATTACTTTCTTTCATTTTTGACCTAATAAAGGCAAAACATGTAATCTAGTTTCAATGAAACGATTTTCTATTTTATCAACTGTGTAATATAAAAAAATTAAAATTACTAAAACAAAACTAAATTGTTTTTTTAATAATTACTTTAGAAACATATAATATCAAATTACTACTGTTACAAAACTAAGTCATATATTTTTTAATAATTACTTTAAAAATCATATAATATAAAAATATTAAAATTACTACTATGACATGAAACTCATTCATATATCTTATTTTAATATTTATTCTAGCACTCAGTTACCAATTTCTTGGAATATGTATAGATTTCTGGCATAGGATAATGGGAAAAGCAAGATAATACACAATTTTAAGAGACCTAAATCCTTACCAATATCTTTCGGACTGTGCTGTTGAGATCAAACAGCAAAACTGAAAAAAAAAATTAAAATAAAAAAGTCCATGATAAAAGGCAAATATATAAAGAAAGAATAGGTATAAAAACTTTTTTTTTATGGAGAAATACACTTCATGAATCACATGTAGCAATACAATTTCTCACACATCCTTAGGAGATAAATAGATTCTTTTTCCTTTTAAGTCAATTTAATGACCAGGATTTTTCAGGAATCCTGTCTCCAACACACCTTTGAATTGGCAAACATAAAATTTTGCTAGTGATTTTAGGTATTCATAAAAGTAAAATCTTTTGAAAAACTGACCACCTAAAAGCTGATTGGCTGGTTTCCTTTTCCCTGGAACACAAGTGGACAGATAGGGGTGGTGGGCCCTCCAGCTAATATCCATATAATGAGTGGCGAGTGAAGCAAGGACCATAAGGAAAGGACCAGCGAGTAAGTCAGCAGTCACTGAGACAGGTAGTGAGTTTAAGGGTTCTTTTTCTGTGGCCAGAAGTTATTGAGATAGCCAGAGTTCACCTTCTCAAAGCCGAAGGAAGACATTGCCGATTAATTGAAAAATCATATTGTTTGCTATTTCTCAAACAGTGACTTGAAAAGCATTTGTCATTATTCTTTGCTGAATTTGATTATGGCCCTAATATTAAGACAAACCTGTGAACATAGCAAGCTGGGTGTATATGTATACAGCCAACTTTGGATGTCATCACAGCTTGTGCAGTGATGTGCAGAAAAGCACTGTCACACATATAGAGGGGGTTATAAATGAACAGAAAAATGGAATGGCCTACCTACTTGAAATGAAAATACCCACACACACACACATTAACATCATCACTTGATAAGACATCGATGGTGTTGAAACAAAATGGCTATTTTGGTAGGGATTTTATAACATATTTGTTATAATTTTTTTTTTTATAAAAAATATATTATATATATATATATATTAGATGTGTGTGTGTGTGTGTGTGTGTGTGTGTGTATACATATATATAATGGATATGTAATATAATTGATCCTGGTCTGGCATCTTGACTTTAGTTGCTTTGTTACCAATATGACATTGATTGTCTTTTTTACAAATATTTTCATGGCAATTGTTATGATCTTTTCTCCCTGGTGCCTTGACTGCATGAATCCAAGTGTGCTACTAGATTGCTAACTAGGTCTCACCATTTCACTGTTGAACTAGTCAGTTCTATTCAAATAGTATCTTTTCTAGCACTTCTCGCCCGTGAGACTCCCTTTTGATTTCCTGCTTCCTTGTCACCTACAATCTTCAAAAATATAAATGCAATGCCAATCACCATCTTCCTGAATCCTGTTCTTTTATTGTCCTTTCTCCTCTCTATAGTTTTTTCATTCTTTTTCACTTCCAGTAACTCCTTGTATTCTAGTGGCATTACCATCTTGCTTGGGCAAGATGATTAAAAAATATCAGAGTTGAACAGACTTTTCTATAGGTTTTGTGATTAAATTCTTGTTGATGCTATTTGTACAAAATGTTTCTGGGAGGAAAATAGTATTATTCCGTGGTTTTATTTCTCCATAAGTTTACAGATTTCTACAAAACTTAAATTTCATCACATTGCTAGTCCCATAAATTATTAGGATCATAGAAATACCACATGTATTGCAGCCGTAGTAGCAGTGACATGTCCAGACAAGACCGCCTGACAGATCCCACCTCTCTTCAGACAAGTTTTGAATTAAGAGTGTTATGTCGTGTATATTGCTATATTAAGCATTCGACCTCTGTTCTAGTTGGTGTCCATTTATCATATGAGCTACCTGCTCATATGCAAATTATACTAATTTGCATATCACTACATCTCCCTATAATGGAGGGGCCTTATGCATGATACTTCTTGTACTTCTTCTTGTGCCCTCCTGAACATCTTCCTTTATCTCTCTCCTTTCCCTTGGAGATCTAGATCTATCATGTCTTTCCCTATAATCGAACTGTTCCTCTTGCATACTGTGGTCTTTCTCTTCTAACTTGTCCCATTCTACTTTTTCCTCTTCTAACTCATCCCTTCTTCCTCCGCAGTTTCATTCTGCATTAACTCTTCTGTTACGTCAATAACGGGCATCTCTGAAGGCATTTCCTCATCCGATTCTTCTCCTTGGGATCTTATTTGGTCAGCATGAGCTAGAACACTGTTCCCATTTTCTTTATTTAATATTGCAGTATTATGTCCTTTCTGCATAATAAATTCGGCTGACTTGGGTCGCATATTCCTATTTCTTTTGTACCACATCTTTTGATTTGTGGCATATGACATAGTCAAAGGGGACCTTAATTGTCTGCCCATTAAGGCAGATGGACTTTCCGGCCTGCCTGCATGTGGAATTGTTCTATAACTTAATAGTAGTCTTGGTAGAAAAGCATCGACTTCCTCCTTCTGTTGCAAGCATGCTTTTATGCCCTTCTTTACCGTCTGGACCATTCTTTCCACTGTCCCATTACTTTGAGGGTGGTAGGGAGGGGTCTTGTAAGGTCTTGCCATTTTTATGCCATACGGCATTCTTTTCCACTTTAACAGGCCTATAGGTATGTTTATGGTCGTAACTTCTTTAAAATTTTCATTTATCAGTATTTGGTGGTAAGCTGATTTTAGGTCTATCTTCGAAAATACTTTCATTCCAGCAAGTTGATGTAAAGCTACTTCCACATTCAGAATAGGGTACGAGTCAGCACAAACTTTATGGTTCACCCCTATTTTATAATCTCCACAAATTCTCAGGTCACCATCTTTTTTTTTCAATACCACAATGGGTGATGCCAATTTACTTCCTCCTGGAGGGGCAGGTTCTAATAAGTCTTTCTTTATTAGCTTTCGCAATTTAGCTATTACCAACGGTAATAAATGCACTGGTATTTTTCTCACTTCGTAGTAGGAGGGGGAAACATTTTCTTTTAATTTCAGGCTAGCTTCATAATTTTTTAATTTTCCTGTTTTTTCTATTTCTATCTCATTAATCAACTTCGTTGAATTTATTTTTAACACATCATTCCCCAATAGTCCATGCATTTTTCAGCAATTTGTAACTATAATGGGTACTATTTCATATTTTCTTTTTAGTTATATTGAACCTTCAAAGTAACCCATAATTGCTATAATCGAACCATCAAACTGACGTAATTGTACGTTGGTTTTTTTTAAAAACAGTTTTCCCATTTTTTCCCCACAAATTTCTGGGTAATATCATGACCTCACTACCTGTGTCGATTTGCATTTCGACAATACAGTCGTTGATTTTCACATCTCCGTTCTTAGATCCAGTATTTTGTATATTATCCTTTTTTACATTAAAAATCTGTCTATTTTCATCCTCTACTCTTTCCACATTTTTCGTTTTACATACTTCTTTGAAGTGATTTTTTTTAAACACTTTGAACACGTCTTTTCCAAAGGCTGGGCATTTTCTTTTTCATTTCATGAATTTTTCCACAGTACGTACAATTTTTTCTTTTTGTTTGTACCGTATATGTTTCAGCCATTATTTCTTCGTAGGATTTATTTTTATTTTTTACATTTGTAGGTATGTATTAATTCCTGCTGTTGTATAAATTCTATACACATATTCAAAGGCATGTTTGTAAGTTGTAACTGTTCCATTAACTTATATCTATGTGCTGAATTATGCATACCTTCAATTTATCTTGGATTAATTCTTCTTCCGTTGTATGCTCTCCTGTTCCTAGTTTTTCCCAATTCACAGTATTTACTCACTTCTTAACCGGTGTAAATATTTTACTATCGGTTCATCCACTTCCTGCTTCATTGCCATAAGCTTGGTCCTTTCTGCAATCACCAGTCTTTTCTTTGGCCTCATGTTTCCCTTAATAACCTGACTTATTTCTTCGAAAGTCATTTCTTCTAGTTCTCGAGGGTAAACCATTGTAGCAACCTTCATAATCGCTTCACAACCAGCTGTAGCCATGAACAATTCAGTGATTTCATTTTCCCCTCCTCTGTTTTTGTTGTCTTTCAACTTTTTACATCTTGCATTAGCAGCAAAGCAACGAATCCATGTATCTACGTACTCTGGGTACCAAAGAGTATCCTATCGGCGACACCATTGTTATGTCGTGTATATTGCTATATTAAGCATTCGACCTCTGTTCTAGTTGGTGTCCATTTATCATATGAGCTACCTGCTCATATGCAAATTATACTAATTTGCATATCACTACAAAGGGTTTTCTTTTTCCGAGATTGGTTGCTACTTCAAGGCAAGAGAGGCCACTCAGCCCTGTTATTTAACCCATAGCTGGAAGGAGAATAGATGCATTCGTACCTTTTCCATAGGTGTTTGGGTGAAAGTGAATACATTGAACTTGGCCAGAATTCAAACCCTGCTTACCAATTTCTCTTTCCAAATCATTAACCACAATACTAACTGCACATCGAAATTAAATTTACAATTTGTTAAACATAAAATTCCTGAAATTCCTTAAAATACTTCCAACTTAGTTAAGTGTACAAAACTTGTAAAATTTTATTGCCTCATATTTTGGTAATTATAACATTACATATGGTATGTAATTTTCTTCTATAAACAAAGTTATTAATAAACAATAAGAAAAGGGAGGGAAAGAGCAGGGCCAAAAATAGTATAGGACAATCTATATATATATATGAGCGCATGGCTGAGTGGTTCGAATCTCACCACGGTTGATTTGTCAAGAAGTAAACTTCCTGATGTTATCGATCTGGAGGGGGAGGGGTGATCCCAGCATGCGACATCTTTGGAAAGTGCCTGAAAACTATGCCAGGGGTTGACCCAAGCCTTGTGAATGAAATTGCGTAGACAGAATCCTTTTGAGTTGTTGATAGCTGTGCTAGCACAAAGTCACAAGTCATCATAATTGAGGGTTTGTGTGTGCTGGCCTTGTTCAGATTGTTGATCATGCTAGATAACATGCTCTCTCCCAGAAACCGTAACTAACATCTGCTCAGCATAGTTGTAGTATAAAACACAGTTGGGCTTTGTGTGTGTTGAACAAACACAAATGTGCGTGAGCGAGTGTCTGCAATAAGGATTGGTTAGCCGCCCTAATAGACAGGTATCCCCGAATACAAGTGGCCCGCTATTATTATATATATATACATATATATAAATGTATGTAAATGAATATTAGATATCACATGTATAGTGCTGGCATTAATAAAATAGTGCTCAATGTAATATAACAGAGCTATCAAGTATATATTAATAAATATACATATCACAAGTAGCATGACTCAGACTTTCAGAGTTTTTATGTACAGCGCAATATTCAGGTGCTGCGTAGAGATACATATACATACATATATATATAAGGCAAGTCAAAAAGCAAAATGAAACTACAGTAATATGCCAAAAAATTCCCAAAGTAAGACTTGTGTTGACATGCAAAAGGGATACAGTCAAGTGGTTATAGCCTTCTGACTTCAAGGCAAGAAAGAACAAAACTGTGGACATGAACCCAAGAAATGTCCCTTTTCATTGGTTAGTAAGAAATCCCAGTATGCAACTGTAGGATCTGTCTCTAGATTTTGCAAGGGGATGTTCTTAGCAGTCATTCTTAACAAATTGGAGCTAACAATTATGAATTAAAGTTAGACTGCATTCACTACTTGTAAAAATTAAGTACAAAACAGCTTTCATTATTTTTTGTGTATTTATAAAAGTATGTTGGAAAATGAAAAATTCAAACTTTAAAATTAAATAAGTGCCAAAATTAAAATTTAAATTCTAGTGTCAGTTTTACTTACTGAGCAGTCAATGAAATTAATTTTTAAATTAAAAACAAAAATTGTCAACTTACAACAAAGGCAACATACAACTGAAAAAGAAAAAAAAATTAAATTAAAACAGTGTAAAAAATGTTTAGAGATGAAAAGAAATTATTTTAGTTTTAAGCTGAATATATTTATTAATTTATGGCAAAGTCTATATGTACCTATTTATTTTTAAGCTCAATGACATATAATGGTGGTGATAAATCATTGCATTTCGTCTTCTATGTGCCACGTCCCTTCAGGACATAGGCGATCATGGCTCTCCACAACTTCCTATCCCTTGTGCCCCCTAGGGGATTTTCTCCTTTTGCTAAGGCTTTTGACCTCAGTTTCATCATCCATCTATGCAAGCTCCTCAGGTAGGTGTCTTGCTCTCCTCTCCTGTTTCTTCTTCCTCATTTCAGGGCATGTCTTCTTTTTGTTGCTATTTTTTTTAAGACCTTCTTGTAGCTTACTCACTCCATCCATAGAAATCTCAGTATCCTTCTGCAGAACCATATTTCTGTTGCATCAAGTTTTTTCTTCATCCATGGGGATATTGTGGAACATTCATTGTTATATAAAAGAACTAGCAGGGATACTCGGCATTGCTCAGAAGATATCTGGATAATAGTTTATAATTGACAATTTATTGATATTTCTCAGCCATCTTATGGAAAATAAATTTTTATTCAACCTTTAAAAAAAAAAACCCAAAAAACTCCAGTTTTGGTTGGTTTCAAAATAACTAAATTTAGGAAGATACCTGTAGTAATTGTAAGAGTAAATAGAACTTGGGACAACAGTAAAAGTACTAAGCTTTATTCAACTAAACAAAACTCAGCTACAAAAGGAAAATAAGTTATAAGTTAAATAGCCAACTGGGGTGAATCCATTGCTTGTACATAGTGAACATAGGATACTACTACCACAATACCACATTACCAATTCCATGCTCAGAGATGAGGTGGGGCGGGGGGCTTAGGGGCTGAGCATTGTCATATTTTTATTCAAAAAGACACTTTATTTTTCAATTTAGATACTAACATAAATACTCTGTTAATGTTGTTTTCAAACAAATCAAACTTATATAACAGTTCATTAACCTTTTTTCAAATTATTAATAAAAAAGTAAATAAACTTAAATTAAGATATATTTTAAACATTTAATTTAATCATTTTTTCAAGCAAAAACTATAGTGAGCCTTTGAAAAATAATTATTTACAATTTATTTTGGAGTGGAATTTAGATTTTTTAAGTAAATAAATTTTTACTTTTAAACATTACCTTAAAGAAGCAAACATTTCTCTGTAAATGAATTTAATTACTATTTTGGAAGAGTAGAAGCAAGTAAGACACATTGAGAATTTAGTTTTGAAAAGCGATTATGTTTAAATTTCAAGTTATATTTGTATTTGAAAAGAAAAGAAAAACTTTAGTTAAATAAAAATTAGCAGAGACAGACATGAGTTACAGTCAACATTAGTCATGTTGAATATTTAACGAATTTAACTATATTTTATGTAAATTAATTTTTGAAAAAATAAGTTTCACTATAGTTTTTTGCTTTAAAAAAATTTAATTGAAAATTATTTACTTTTTTATGTTAGTTACAAACCAAAAAACAATGAAGTTTATTTTTTTAAAGATTGAATAAAAAAATCATTTTCCATAAGATGGCCAAAATATACTAAATAAGTCTATAATACATACATATACAGACAACAGCCCTTTAGGGTGATACTGAATCTGTATATAAAAATAAACCTCTCAACACTGGACTAATGGACTAATGGGTAATTGTGGTCCATTAAAGCTGATTGTCTGTAGATGGGAAGGGATTATTTTTGAGTTATAAAACCACTATATTAACTACCAATAGTTATGATCATAATGTAAATACTATAAACATGTACATATGGCATAAATATATATATACTTAATATAGGTATATTAATCAAAATAACAAAAATAATAGATTTTTCACAGCTACTTTCTCACACATGCACTAATGTATCATACTTTCTGTCTTTGTTTACAATTGAAAGGCCTGTCATCGCTGTCAAGTAGTCACTTGGAGAACTAATAAGACTCGTCCCAGTAAGCCTGCAAATTTTAAATACATTGCTGATGATTTGGAAGATTTTTCCCCTGCAGATTTTTATTTTTATTTTGTCTGCAGATTTTGTCCGTTGTGTCAAAAGTCCATTGATGGGGGGGGTCCGTAGATGAGAGGTTTGTCTGTATATTTATTTTCTAGCTGGACACAGACTATCAGACAGGGGCGCATGCACACACACAAATATTTTAATAAATAATTATTAAACTTTTCGTCAAATAATTGTATTTAATATTCTTTTAAATTTACTATGTTGTTTTAATATTCATTTTTTTAAAGTTATGCTCTAAAAAAATGTTGTTTTAATATTCATTTTTTTTTTAAAGTTATGCTTTTATTTACAATAGATGTGAAAATAAATTCGAGAGAATAGAAATTTTTAAAATACATATATGTCGCCTTTCAAAGTATCACCAGAATTAAAAAGTAAAAATGAACAGTAATCTTAATCAGAAATAAGAATTATTACCATTTGTTTTTACTTTTTAATTCTGAGAATTTTTAATGCATTCTAATAGATTTTAATTTTAAAATATCTTTGTAAATACAAATCATATGATGATAATTTTTTTACAAAATTGCCTTGGGTGGTAATGAATCTGAATATATATTTACTTTGTCATTAATTACTGTAGTTTTTTAGTTTTAGCCACACAAATATACAGACAACTGCCTTTTACATATGCATAGATAGATGGATATCACAAAGAAATCCAGTACTCTTTTTTTTTTTTGTTTCTCACTAATTTTTTCTATTACTCAGCACTTAGTTTTTTTAATGCCTCTTTTGCTAATTTAATGGATGTTTAGACATTTAAACTTCTGTACTTGCTTGCATTAGATTACTGAATAATAAAATTTAAGTGATGTAATTGTTCTCTATAAGAGGAGGTAACTCTTTTGCCCAACAAATATCATTAAAGAGTTAAGTACCTTAGACTTTCACATTTATAAATAATATATTTTAAAAACGCCTGGTTTACCCTTCTATTGTAAAAAATTTTTTTTTATATAATATATATATATATATATATATATATATGTGAGATAGGATAAAAAAAACAAATAGGAAACGTTTATCAATCTAACATGCTTCACTTCTATTAAAGCTTCAGAAAAGAATTAAAAAAAAAAAGAGAAATTCTAGTATTTTTCTTTTTCCGTTTGATTTTAATTAGTTAATCAGGCTTCACATGCATTGCATGTGTTATGCAACGTTAGTATAATTTAGGGCATTCTTTCAAAGCTCCAAGAAATTAATGGATTCCAAGCTTAACTGGAAAAATGTATATAATTGTATCATAATTTTAGTTTTACTATGTGAGAGTCAAATGGTAATGCATATTTGTAAGTCTGTGTATTTATGTTTAGTAGACATTATGTTTGGTGGTTGATTTTACAAATGCCACCCAAATTAAAAAAAAAGAACATAATTCTTTATGTCGAAAGTACTTTGAGGGAGTCCTAATAAATATTTTATAAAGTATAAACCTACAACAAAAATGCTATATTTAATCACCAACCTTTATTGAATGCATTCTTAAAGAATGCATGCATATATATATATATATATATATAAAAAAACAAACTACTTATTTACAGTTAGACTCATGCCCTTGTGGAGGTTAACAAAATGTTAGTTTTTACATTCAAAATCATAGGGCGGATATTTGAGAAGGTTTCTTTTTGTTTGAAAACAAATACAAACTTGTATCCTTCTTGGTATGTGATATGTTGGAACAGAGTGAGAAAGAGACATCCTTCCTTTTTTGCACCACCCAATTGTCCTGATTAATTCTCCAGTGGTTACAGTGGACAAACCTTTTCCATTTTCTGATTAAAGGATAAAGTTGCCTCATCTCAAAGACTTGTTTTCCTGGGTTTATATTGAGGTTGTTAAGTGGTTGAGGAGTATGATGAGTGCAGTAGGTTTATCCTTTGCTTTGATACTGGGTTTTTATTTTTAGTTTTCACTTATCAAAGTATCTGATTTCAGAAATGAAGTTAGCTGACTGACCTGTCATTAAGTTGAGTGATTGATTTTTTTATGGCTTAACCTTTTGCAGGTTATTTACAGCAAGAAAATATTTTTAGATTATTGGAATTTTTTTCAATAATAATGATTTATTGATACAAGTACTACTAATTACAGTAGGAGAATTTTCACATTTTGCTGTCCATATGTACAGATATTTTCTCTTAGTTAATTTTTTTTTTTGTTGTTGTCATTGTTTTTAGTACCACTCGGTATCCAGGAATGGACAGTAGAATGTGAACACTATGTCTTATAGATAGAATAAAGGGTTCAGTTTAAAAAAATCCTTAAAGACCTGTCTATATCTCTGAGATGAGGTATTATGATTACTTGCATTATTTACATTATTCGGACTGTTATCCTCACCTTCATTGCTATTTTCACAATGTTTTGGCCAGTGTATGCTCCGGCCTTCTTCAAGTGATTGGAATTTTGAACCGAACCCTTCTTTAAGGACACATGACCCAGTAGATAAAGACGTTGGTTAGATTCAGTGATTAGACCCAAGGATTTGTGAGTTCAATACCAGGCCACAGCAGTGGTGAACCAAAAACTTGGAGAGTTGAGTTAAAGGGAAATAACTGAGACATCTGGAAGAGGCATGGTATGTGGAACTAGAACAATCTACCCTGGTAAACGAAATAAAGGGTTTGGTTTGAAATTCCAATCACCTGAAGAAGGCCAGAGAGTACAATGGCCAAAACTTTGTGAATATGACAATGAAGATGAGGATAACAGCCTGAATAATGTAAATAATGCAACAGATACCTGAAGAAGTCAAGAAGACACAATAGCTGAAATGTTGTGATAGTAACAACAAAGATAAAGGTCTATTTCTGAGTGTCTAAAATGGAATTCATGTTAGATGTTTAAATGCTTATTCATTTACTTGTTAATTATGATATTTCAATCATTTAGGATTAGTCTGAGTGTAAATAATGGTAACTCCTAATGCCAGAAATTCAGACAGAAATTTCAGAGAAGTGTTGTAATTACAGCCTTAAATATTTCTTGTCAAATTAAAGAGAAATGATTTTTTTCTCTACATTTCTTAGAATTTTGACAAAGACTGAGTAATTTTATGATCAATAACAAAAAAGATAAAATATAATCAGTCAAGTACACATTGACTGATTTGTTTTTTATGGTTTATCAACTCTTTCAGCTTTAAGTAAAGCCAAAACATATTTTGGAGTTAAGTACAGAAAATTTTTGATCATGCTGCCACTTTCTCAAGGGAAGAGACAAAAGGAGAAACATTTGAAATCTATTTTTACTGACAACATTGGTAGATATTTCCACTTGCTATCATTTGTATTGTGAGTTTATGTAACCCACTGGATAATGCACATGTCATATAATACAAATGACAAAGATGAGTGACCTATTCATCAGGAGGGTGGAAGTAAATGACCTATTTGCTCTCAAACCTCCTGTGGTAATTTATACTTTTGATTTTTATCAGTTTTGCTTATGACCACATTACCTTGAAACACCAGTTCTCATATGGTCACCAAAGTTAAGACTTGATAAGGCCAGTCAGTACCTAGATTGGTGACTGCTTGGGAATACCAGGTGCTGTAAGCTTGGATCTGTGGGTGGTGTAATATATAACGGCTCAAAAAGAGAAATCGAAGATTTTTTGATTTAGATGGGTTATTTTACTGGCACACCAACCACAAGGGTTATTTTGTGCTAAATGAGGTATTTTTAAGATTTGTTTTTGTGTTTTGCAAATAGACTTTTTTTTTTATAAGAGATTATTATATAAGGGTGTAGATGTACTTTGGTTTTAGTTGCATTTTGTAGCCAGGTGTTTATTTGGTTTCCTTTTTATATTTTGTGGGTAGAGTTTTGTTACTTTTAAGAATTCTAGAATGGCTTTGGGTTCGACACTCTCAAAGAGGACCCTAAAATTGGGTACATTGTAGAAGAATTTTTGTGTAGGTGCCAGTTTTTGCAGTTAATCAAAAGATGTTTGACTCATGTATTTTTTTGATTTTTATCAGGGTTCATATCATGCAAACTGCTTACAGCCACTTTATATTAAAACACTGGTTCTTGTATGATCACCAAAGTTAAGGCTGGTTTAGTCTGGTCAGTATCTAGATGGGTGACCACTTGGGAATAACAGGTGCTGTAATCTTGGATATGTGGGTGGTTTAATGGATAATGGCTTACATGCAAATACCCTTGGGAAAGGTATAAAGCCATCTCATTTCCCCTCAGCTATAGGTTAAATAGGAAGACTTGTATAAAAAATTCCTCATTTACCAAACACGGAATCCCCCACCCCACAAATTCTTACAATCTTAAAATTATGCTCTGGCTTTAAATAATCTGCAAAAGGTTTATCAACTGTAAAAAAAACAAAAAAACAAATCAATCAATATCATACAAACTGTAATAATCATACTAATTTCAATCACTGTGTATGTAGAATTTGATGAAATCAATTCAGGAAGACACCAAAATAACAAAAACAAAACATGACTATTAAATTGGTTTTATAAATACATATTATGGCTATAATGAATTTGCTTCAGTTTCAAATAGACAGGGTGGTTGGAATTAAAGAGATAGCTGGATTTTTTTTTCATATTTTTTTTTTTTTATACAATTCTCAGCAATAAAATGTTTTGTCCAAGGAAGCTGTGCCTAAATTAATGGATGGGAGGAGGATTCTTGAATATTAAATAAAAGGGGTGGGCTTTTTCTCAAAAACGGAATAACCATTCTGGCCCATCTATTTGAAACTCAAAAGGTATGTATTGAGACACATTTAACCACATCAATCATAAATTCATTAAATTTTTTTTACGATTTATGATAGATAAAATTTAAAAATAAAAACTAATTTTATCTTAATATAAATTTGACCTAAAACTGTCAAGCATTTATACATTATTATAAGTGGCTAGATATGAAAAAAAAAAAAAAAAAAAAAATAGTCAAAATTTTATTATAAAAATACTTCTAGAACAAAAGGTTTCCATACCACATTTTTCCAGAAATGTGCTTTTCCAAAATGTGCTTGGTATCTTGACTGCAAAATGAAGGGAAGTGAATTTGACACCATTAGATTTTCTTTTGATTTTGTCAGTCATCTGAAAAAAAAAAAAAATATATATATATATATATATATATATATATATATATATATATATATATGTGTGTGTGTGTGTGTGGCTAGCAAGCTACTAGTGGAATTTTAGGGAGAGGCATAACAAAAAAACCCAAACATTAAATGAAGTATATTACAAAATCTGAAGACTAACACAATAATCAGGAATACATGTAGGTTATGCCAAAAGAGAAGCTAGCTACAGCAATGTATAAAGACAGCACTGAATTACTGAACGAGAGTTCAGAGTTCATGACCAAATGTAGACAGATTAAAAAGTTCAGCTTGGGGTTATTTGAACCCGGATAAAGTTGGAAAATTTTTTTTGCTACATCTCCTCCCCACCCCCTTACTTCTGGTTTCAAATGAAAGTACTGAAGTTGCTGAGCTCCATTTAGTCGATTTATTGAACAAACCACCTGAGGAGACTCTAGTGGTCAAAACCACAGTAGTGTTCTGATCAGTATTCATATTTTTTTAAAACATTAAACAGCTCAGCAAATCTGGTCTTCCAACTTGATATTGAGCACTTTTAATGTGTACAATCTTAAATATTTTGCTGTTTGTGTACTCTGGCATATATATATATATATATATATATATATATATATATATATTTACTGTGAAGCAATTCTGTGGTGAGAAACAAAAACCACCAGTTTACAAATTTCCAGAGAGTCCATTGAATGTAGAAGACAAAGCCCTGAACTATGCAAAGTCTTTCACCTATCTTGGTAGCAAAGTCAACTACAGTGGAACTTTAGATGATGAAATCATGCATCGGATTGCTAAGGTAAACTTTGTCATCGCTTGTGGAATGAGCGGGGTATTCAACTGGATATGAAAATTCGGGTTTACAGAGCTGTTGTCCTTGCCATCCTTTTGTACGGCTCAGAGTCGTGGACTCCAAACAGGTACCATATACATCAGCTGGATGTTTTCCATAAAAGCTGTGTGCAATCTGTGAAGTTAACCTTCAAGATAGGACATCTAACGTAGACCTGTTTAACAGGTGTAATGTTGAAGGAATCGAGATTTTTCTCATACAGTCTCAGTTATGGTGGACTGGTTATGTCTTGAGAATGTCTGATGACAGGATACCCAAGATCCTAATGTACAGCCAGTTAGATCAGGGCTACAGGAATGTAGGATGCCCATGGCTAAGATACAAAGACAAACTGAAGAGCAACTTGTCAGCTGTCAATATACTTCATAACACCCTCGTGTGCTTAGCCTTGGAGTGGGTAAAATGGAGATCAATGTGTTTTAGTGGACCCAGCAGTTTTCAATCAGTTTGTCTGAATCATTTTCAAGATGCAAGAGCAAGATCTCAAAGGTCAGCCAATCTAACAGTGATCTCATCCCACAATCCTTACTCTAGCTCCATATGCGGCCTCCTTTGTAAATCTCTAGTGGGTCTTAAGTGCCACTTAAGATTATCGCACAAAATTTTATAACTGAATCAATTAAGTTATCAGATCCTCATACGTCGAAACCAACAGGAGAGTCCATTATTATATATATATATATTAGAAAAAATAAAAAGATATTAAAAAATCATCATAAACATACATAGCACATGTAAATGAAGCTTATTCAGGTTTTTGGCAACTGGCAAAGCATTATCCTAGATAGAAGAAGACAGGAAAAGTGGGGAAATATATTTTGTTTTATATTTTTCCCTTTCTTTGTCTTATTTTATAGAAATGCAATGTTGCCATTCTCAACTGTTGGGGAGGGTACAATGATGTCATGTCAGATTTGATCCCACCCCCACCACACCTCAGTCGTCTTTGAAAATGGAGACACTTCTTGTTAAGTCAGCCACAACATTTCACTAAATGACTATTTGATTCGAGTATAGCAAGAATTGAACATGAGGTCCCATGTGTAAGTAGAAAGAAGTGCTTTTTCCACAATGCTAGATAATCGCATATTGTTTTAGTAAGGAGCAATAGGACTTATACTAAGTTAACTTAATTTAAAAAAAGACCCCCCACCCCTTTTCAGTAAGTATTCCAGTTGAAATGTTGGCAACTAAACCAATTACCCACTCCAAGTTATGAGTGAGGTGGCTCGTTAGCAAGCTAGTAGTCAATGGCCAGCTAACTAGAGAAGGCAACGGGAAACCATTCCACTACCAATCTCAAGACAAATCATAGCTAACAACTCAGATTATGCAAACCCTAACAGTGTGAAAGGGGTTAAGTCTTTGGGAATTAGCTCCTCTCCTGGTAAGGACTGACATGTGCAACAGGTGACATCTGATCATCATCCAGCGACTGCTAGCATAAACAGTGTAAAAGGGATAAAAGTTCTTGGAATCAATCCCTCACGTCGAAAGGAATGACATGAGTGACAGGTGTCACTGAACTGTTATCTTGTGACTGCTCACATCAAACACAAAACAACTCTCAGGACATGGAACATCTGAACATTGAACAACTGTGGCCAGTTTGATAATGTTAAACAAGAGATGAACAGACTTAACATCAACATTCTAGGTGTATGTGAAACCAGATAGCCAAACAATAGTGATTTTGTTAGCAAAAAACACAGGATAATTTATGCAGGCAGCAGGAAGAATGACAAAGGAGTAGGACTAATACTAGATAGAGCATTTAAGAAATGTGTTCTAGGATACCACCAACTTTCAAAAAAATTCTGGTAGTGAAGCTGAAAGGTAAGCCATTCAATGTGGCTATTATAGTAGTGTATGCACATACAGCACAAAGCAAGGAAGAGGACATCGAATCTTTCTACTCCATGCTGGACAGTGCCAAGTCTCTATGCAAATCACAGAAAGTAGTCATCATTATGAGAAACTTAAATGCTAAAGTAAGCAGGGAAAGGGCAGGTGATATAGCAGAAAGATTCAGACTAGGAACCCACAACAAACATGGAGAAAAATGGATCCAATGATGCACAGTCAATGACCAGGTAATAGCCAACACATGGTTCCAAGATCATCCGATGTGACTATAGACATGGAAGAGTCCATAAGGATAAAGTAAAAATCAAATTGATTATATAACTATCAACAAAAGATTCAGGAATGCAATGATTCAATGCAAAACCTACCCAAGTGCCAATTGCGGAAGAGATCATCACCCTGTTATATGTAAACCAAGAGTGAAACTGTGGAAATTGAAGAAGCCTAACGCAGCACCCAAGTTGCAATACAACAAACTCCTGAGCGATCCTAACCTAAAAGAAAATATATGGACAATATGAAAAGAATATAAGAGGCACAAAATGGAAACTCAAAATGGGATACACTAAGAGACACTTTAGTAACATCAGCAAACGATATCATCCCAAAGGAGAAGGACGAAGAAGGAAAAATGAATGGATGACAGATGAGATGCTTGCCATGAGGAAAGGAGACAGAAAACTCTGCCAAGATACAGAACGGAGTACAGTTAATTACACAATGAAATAAAGACTAAATGCAGGCGAGCTAAAGAAGAGTGGCTAAATGAAAAATGTGCAAAAATAGAAAGATTGAGTACGACCAACAAAAGAGACATGCACAAACAAAAAAGACAACTAACAGAACAGAAGACATGTTTGTCAACAGACTGCCTAAAATCAAAGGGTGGAACACTCATATTAGAGAAGGAAAAAATTCTTCAACACTGGAGTGAGTATATTGGAGAACTCTTCCATGACAAAAGGGAACAACCAGCAATACACAGAACTACTGACAGACCTGGAATTCTGAAAACCAAAGTAAAAGTCACACTAGTCAAATTGAACAGAAACAAGGCAGCTGGGCCAGATGGAATTGTAACGGAAATGCTGACAGCCTTAGATGACTTTGGAATAGACAAGATCACTGAAATAACAAATGAAATTTACAACAGCGGGGATATACCAGAAGACGTCAGCAGGTCTATTTTCATAGCTATGCTTAAGAAACCAGGCACAAATGAATGCAAACTGCACCCAACAATATGCCTAATGAGCCTTGTGACAAAACTCATCATATGTATTCTGATGAATAGAGCACGCAGCAGAATCATGCCAGAGATAGGACAAGTCAGGTTCATTAAAGACATCAGAACAAGGAAAGCTATATTCATGCTCAGAACGTTATCAGAAAGAGTGATACAGATGCAGAAGGATGTGTGCCTATGTTTCATAGGCTACACAAAGGCCTTTGACTAAATACACCACAAGGATCTGCTGGAACCACTCAGCAACCTTGATATATTTGAGAAAGATATCAGAATAATCAAAAATCTATACTGGCAGTAAA